CATAGATCATGTCGAAACATATAAGTGTAGAGTGATATTTTTATTTTAAAGTGGAAGCTGTACGGCTTCAATAAAGTTTTATTGTGTAAATATAAAACGTTGTTTTTAATTATTTATTATAATTTAGAAATTCTCTATGCTTTTTGGGCCATGGCATTACAACAATACTTAATATATATAGTGTTAAACACTGTTTTTTATCAAGGTATATTTGTGGAGTGCTATTAAATTGATTTCTTCTAGCGTATACCGGTACCATATGCTAACTCCTTGCTAGCTTCTTTCTATATAGTTAAGACACTGCATGGGGTACCATGAAAGTTATTTCAGACCCTAAATTTGATCAGTATGTTCATTCAAGCAGAACCCTCATGACATGCCCTTAGTACAAGTATATGGGAATTCTAAAGAATGATAGATATTCTCACTCTGGTTCATTCAGTTGTCAACAGGGATCAGTGAAATATTACCATATTGTTGAAATTTACATTCTGTAATGGCATGGGAGAATTAGCCCCATAAAATGGGAAGAATGACAAAATATTTTTTGTCCTCACACTTTTTCACAGTACTGTATCTGTGTTTTGTGTTACAGAGTAGGTCAGTGTATATAAATATTAAACATGTGTCTGTTTTGTGATTTGAAAGATAGCAACAAAACTATTTGACCAGTTGTATTCGTTGATTCAATAACATGTGGCAGAAAAGTCTTAACAGCGACATGACCAGTTGTAATTGTTGATTCAATAACATGTGACAACAAAGTGTTAACAACTAGTCTTGTGCTATTACATAATTCTGAAGGATCAAGATTTCTCAACAACATTATTGGTGAACCAACCTTTAATTTCAGAATGTGACCTGGCATCTCTGATGGTTCAAGAGGATTTAATAAATCAGTTGGGTAATTTACAGCATCATCTGTATCTGGAACACTGTCAGTTTCCTCTTTGGGAACCTTTGACAAATATTAGGGAACACCTTTTCCTTTAGCTTTTCTACCTCCATAATTAAGTTACCACATTTGTCTAAAATAGTAATGCAGTTGTTTGATTGAAAACTTTCCAACACTAACTTAAGAAGTAGTTTCTGAATTAAATTGTTTCATTTTGTATCACTAAAGTTATTAAAAACAGAGAAAATAAAAGTAAACCACAAACTAAGATGTCCATTATGTGTTCAACATTGTTGGCCTAACAACAATATTGTGATAGTTTTGTTGCTAAGCGACGATGTATAGTACTGAGTATTACCAAAAGGAGCATCACACGAAGACAGAAACTGAATTAAATACAAACAATCAGTTTTTGATTGAAACCTGGTGGGAATTTTGCTCCTTCATGTTACTTCAGGAAACCATAGGAGACACCATGCCAAGTTTGTTGTGATTGGTCAAATAGTGTGTGAAGAGTTAGCATACAGACAAATATACAATTTCACATTTGTATATATAGATATATGGTTAGTGTTTATGCATCAGAGAAATGGTAACATTTTACTATTTTATTACAAACATTATTTCATTTATTAGAACATTTGGTAATTATTTACAGTTTAAAAAATTGATGTTAAGAAGTATTTTAAATCTGAAATCAAGAATTCAGTATATCTTTAAAAAATTATTATATGTTTATTGTGCATATGCTGACATTAGACAAACAAACATCATTAGTAGTATTGTAATAAAAAAACAAGATTTAATTCCATCTGTGTTTGTAGACTTTCAGAAAAGTTCTTCAATTGCTGGACATTACAGAGTGAGAGCCATGGATTTTTGGAACCAAACAGGACCATATTCTCACCCAGTTTATTATGTAAATATTACATAAAGGTTACAATACAATACTTCCTTTTCAAATGTTACATAAGGTTACCATACAATACTTCCTTGTCTAATATTACACAAAAGTTACTATACAATACTTCCTGTTCTAATATTGCATAAAGTTACTATACAATACTTCTTTTTCTAATATTACATAAGGTTACTATACAATACTTCCTTGTCTAATATTACATAAAGTTACTATACAATACTTCCTTTTCTAATATTACATAAGGTTACTATACAATACTTCCTTTTCCAATACTACATAAGGTTACTATATAATACTTCATTTTCTAATATTGCATAATGTTACTATAATTTATTTCCTTTTTTCTAATATTACATAAGGTTACAATACAATACTTCCTGTTCTAATATTGCATAAAGTTACTATACAATACTTCTTTTTCTAATATTACATAACATTACTATACAATATTTCCTTTTCTAATATTACATAAGGTTACTGTACAATATTTCCTTCTCTAATATCACATAGGGTTACTATACAATACTTCCTTGTCGAATATTACATGAGGTTGCTACACAATACTTCCTTTTCTAATATTACATAAGGTTACTATACAACACTTCCTTCTC